AGGTATCGCAACCCTTCCAGTCCATATGTGCACACGTGCCCGCAGGCAAAACTGCATCGTGAGCCCCAAAGTTGAATCTTATGGCATGTAAGTAGACAAGCTGTCAATAAGCACATGAAAATATGCTCAACATCACTAATCATGAGAGAAATAGAAGTCAAAACCACAATGAGACACCATTTCACACCCATTAGAACGGCTATAAATTAACGAAAATCAGAAAATAAGTGTTAGGAGAATCTAGAGGAATTGAAGCCCTTATGCATTGTTGCTGGGCATTTAAGACGGTCCAGTCACTGTGGAGAATGGTTTGGTGGCTCTTCAATAAGCTAACGGCAGAGCTGCTACGGGCCCAGCAATCCTATTCCTTGGTCTACACCCCACGCCCAAAAGAAGGGACGCTGGCCTCAGAGACCTGCACCTTCATGTTCAAGTAGCACTATTCACAGCAGCCGAGAGGTGGCAACAACGCAGGTGTCTGTTCGTGGATGAAGGGGCGCACCAAATACGGCCCATCCACACCACGCATGCCACTCTGCCTTAGAAAGGAAGGGAGCCCTGCTGCGTGCTCCAGCATGCGTGAGCCTCAAGCACATCGCACTCAGGGGAGGAGGTCTGTCACAACGGTCACTTACGGATTCTGCTTCTGTGAAGTAGCCTCAGCAGACAGTCATGCAGAAAGAGGCTATCGGAAGTGGGGGGCAGGGAGGAATGGGGAGTCACTGCTCAATTCTGCTTGGGATGCTAAGAAAGTTTTGGTTGGTGGCAATGGTCGCATTACATTGTGAATGTACTTAATGCACTAAACTCTATCTCAAAAATGGTTGAAATGGCAAATTTTACATTATGTACCTTTTACCAAATACTTTGAAAATAATGTAATGTTGGGGCGCCTGGGTGGCTCAGTTGTTAAGCGTCTGCCTTTGGCTCAGGTCATGATCCCAGGGTCCTGGGATCAAGCCCTGCATCGGGCTCCCTGCTAGGCGGGGAGCCTGCTTCTCCCTCTGCCTCTGCCTCTCTCTCTCTCTGCCTCTCATGAATAAATTAAAAAAAATAATAAAAAAACATAAAAAAAAAAAAATAAAAAAACCAAAGTACCTTGGAAGAAAACTCAAGTGTGCCTGTGGCTGGGAGGCCAGATAGTGCCAGAGAAGAGTCTCTGGTGTCACCGGACCTGGGCCCAGAAGCTAGCTCCAGCTGGGCAACCTTGAGCAGGTAACATAACCTCCCAACTGCAGGGGACGTGCAAGCTGCTGATGTGAAGGATGAAATGAGATGGTGTGTGGACAGCAGGACGGGCAGGCACACACGTGCTTCATGCACGGAGCCAACACTTCTACCATCAAGACAGCAGAAGCCACGCCCCACCACACCACCACACCACCAACTTTTCAGTCCTTGGCCACCTCAGGACACTTCATGTCCCGCCGGCCATAAGGCAGGGGCACTTTATAAGCACTCCGGAGGACTTCTGCCGACTACCACTGCTCCTCCCACCCCATGTCGCCAGAAGCACACGCTCCCGCTTCACTTGGCTCCTCCCCGGGGAGGGGGCCTGCCCACTGGGGCCTTCGCTCTGCTCCTCGTTGTCGGGGTTTGTGAAGTTCTATGAGTACATGTGGCCTCAGATCCATGACACAGCCTCTAAGCTGACTTCTGCCAACACAAAAGCCAGTATTCTGATCTCTGTCTGTCTCTCTGTGGGTCCCAAGGCCCCACAGAGTGATTACCCTGATCCATCCTTCCCTCCCAGGTTGGGTACCCCAACCACTGTGTCTTGTCAGGCAAATCTGCCTTGGTGGATCGGCATATTAAAGACGCCTCTGAAACTGCTGTATACACGGTTAGACTGTTGTCCGAAGAGGAAATAGTCCTCTTCCATATTCCTCACAATTAAGAATAATGAATATATTAAAACAATTCCACTCTCTCCAGTTTCTCAGAGACATGAACTAAGAACACCTTGTGACTGAAATAAAGATAAATGACAAAAGACATTTGGTGTAACAGGCTAATAGTTTTAAAAAAGAAAAAGGAGTGAGTTACAAATAGCATGCTTTTGGTGAAGAGGAGGGACCACCCAGAGGAGAAACTCCTGTTACCTGGGGGACATCATCGAAGAGCCTCTGAGCAAAGTGAGGAAGCACATCGTCTACCGACTTGCCGCTGCCGAACTGGATCACGGTGCCCGTGGCCTCAATGACAGCCACCCGCACCTTCCAGTGCTGGTGGGAGATGCTCTGCATCAGGGGGCCGATCAAGGACTCCGACTGCATGTGGAAGTGGTCTGTGAGACAGAGGAGGGCACAGTTACCAGGCCTGCTCCCCGAGGGCCTTGGCCCAGCCCAGCACCGTGGACTCCCAAGAGGACAGGCCACCTGTGCCTTGGAACTTCCTCTCCCCACCCAGGTCCCTGCTGCAGGCACGGCACTTGGCTCAGGCCTGCCTAGCATAGGTTTGTACTCCTGGCTCCGGGAGAGGCACAGGACAGGCAGGGGACCCTAACAGCACCAAAGCAAAAAGGCTGGGGGCTTGACCCCATCTCAGCTGGAGGCAGAAGCTGTGAGGGAGAGTCTGAAGCTGATGACAGTGGCCCTGGGTGCCTGAGAGGGATCAAGTCTAGAGGACACTGTGAAAGTCCCCACATTGGGTGTGCCTGAAGCCAGACACCTGGGCCAACATTGCTTTGGGCAAGGCCATTCCACTTCCTATTTGTAAGGGCCTCCCAGAAAGTCGGAACCAGAATGTCTCTGATAGTCCTGGTCTGGGCGTTCTAACCTCAGTTCTGCCGCTGCTTGAGACCCATCCAAAAGATGGCTATTTCAGAGATGCTTTGGTTGACTTCTTTAACCCTGAGGTCCTCAGATCAAGGCAGGATATTAATCTACCTCTTCCCAGTGTGATGGGGATCCAAGAGAGGCCCCTCACCAAGAGAGGGCAGAGCAGGGAGATGATTTTGAGAAGGGAGATACTTCAAGCAGAGGCAACAGTCCTTCACTCAACAATCGGCGGGCACGTGGGCTGTGGGCAGGTATCTTGCTATGTGCAAGGCACACTGTCCTACACTTCCCAAACTTATAATCTAGTGAGGGAACATGCAAAGGCTGGAAGGCATGAGAAGCAGTCAATCTGGCTGATGCAGAGACCAGGGAGTGAAGTGGCTGGGGGGAGGGTCAATGAGAAATGTGTTAAAAGCTTGTAATTCCCAACGGCTGTGTCCAGCCCAAGCCTCACCCCCAGTTCTGCTAGAATTCTGCAGTATTTGAACCCAAACTTATGACTCACAATGGAAATCTCGACAGTCCCTAATGGGAAGGGCCAAAAGGAAGCCCCGTTCCTTTGTCTCCTGTCCACCAACACCTCCTTCTCCCTCATCCCTCACCCAATTCAACAGGAAATCCTGCCAGCTCCATGTTCAACATGAATCCATTTTCCTCCATCTCTATTAGCAGACTGTTCACCCCTACTCAAGTCCAAGCTAACCATCATCTAAATATGGATTAATTATGACCCCAACTGACCTCATTTCTTCTTGCCATCTTGGTAATCAATTCTCCATGAGCACCAGAGTGATCTTTTAAAAATCTGAATCTACGCCTCTGGAGCCCCTTCTCCACACCCTCCACTGGCTCTCCCCTGGCTTTAATCATTTCAAAGCCCCAGCAGCTCCCTACTGCCCGCCCTCCTTCCCTCCAGCCACCTTGACCTCCTTTTTGCTCCTCAGATCTGCCAAGCTTATTTCTCAAAAGCAGTTTCCTCCTGACAACCGATCACTGATCTTCAACCTCAACGTTCTGTCCTACAGGAAGCCTTCCCAACGGGACTAAGGAGAGGCCTCCTGCCATCGCAAATCCCAGACTGAGGCAGCAAGGAGAGGTAAGCGGGGCAAGATCCTGCAGAAATGGCTACTCAGAAAAAGGGACCGTCCTGAATAGATGAGTTTTTTAAATAACGGAAGTGGATTAAAGGAAAGCAGGAGAGAAGCGGCCTCTCTCCATTGAAGACAGCCGTCCAACCCAGAGGGAAGACAGGTAGAGTCTGCCGAGAAAGGGGGATGAGAAGTTAAATACCGCAGCGGTGTTTCTCAGCCTGCAACCGCAACCGCCCGGATTGGTCACCCCGGCGGGGGGCAGTTACCGAAACGCACCGCATCCCAGGCCCTTTGAGCAATTTCGGCGGCGGTTTCCCGGATCTGCATTTTGAGAACCAGCGGATCTCAGGGGCGGCGCTGCCTCCGGGTCCAGGAGGGGCCTCCACCTCCCGCACCCCGTCCCGACCCCCGCGAGAGGCCAGCACCTGGCGTCGCGCGCGCCAGGCCCGCGGCGCACTCGCAGCCCTCGCGGCGCACGGCGGCGAACGGGTCGAGCAGCGCGCCGCGCAGCGCGCGCACCGCGTCGTCCAGGTGGGGCGCGAGCGCGGGGCCGCCCAGGCGCACGGCCAGGCCGAGCAGCTGCACGAGCGCCAGGCGCAGCTCCTCGCAGGCCTCGGGCGGCCGGCCGCGCGCCGACTCGGGTCCCGCCAGGCGCGCGGCGAGCGCGGGCAGCAGGCGCGGCAGGGCGTCGCGGGGCCGCGCGGCGCGGCGCAGGCCCAGGCCCAGCAGGTGCGCGGCCAGCGCGCGGCAGCCTTCGGCCGGGTCCGCCAAGCGGCGCAGCAGGCGCGGCAGCAGCAGGCGCGCCCACGGGCCCTGGAAGGCGGCGGGCGCCTCGGGCCGCGCCGCCTCGAGCGCGCGCCGCAGCGCCTCGAGCGCGCGCCGCCGGGCCTCCTTGCTGTCGGCCTCCAGCCCGGGCAGCAGGCGGCTCAGGGCGCGGCTCAGCCCCGCCGCCTCGGCCGCCTCAGACGTCCCGGCCGCGTCGGTCGGGCCCGGGGGCGCCTCCGCCGCCGCCGCCGCCGCCGCCGCCATCTTCCGCGCGTCGCCCGTCGCCCGGGGAGACCGGCGCTTTCACGACGGCCGCGGTGCGGATTGCGGCTCGTCTTCCGGTTGGCTCCGAGCACAACTTTATTGGCAGCTCCGGGCGCGGACAGGACACTTCCGGGCGGGTTGGGGGCGGGGAGCCGGAACCGCCGGGGCCGGACGGGCGACGCGAGCTGCGACTCTGAAGTGCGCGGTCCTCGGCGCGCGAGTGGCGGACGCATTCGCTGTAGACAGGTGAGGCTTGCCCGTGAAACGCCGACCCAGGCGACTGGCAGGGCTGGTGACAGTTGACTCCGCGGGGGCGGGGCGGGGAGGGGCGTAGGGGGGTGGCCGCGGGGGCGAAGGCCCTGGGGTGGGGGAGCGGCGTTGTTGCACTGTGTCCCCCGAAGTTCCTATATCGGAATCCCAACCCCAGGGCTTCAGAACGTGACCTTATTTGGAGATGGGGCCCTTACAGGGCTCGTCGAGTTGGGAGTAGGTCGCTGGGGGCGCCTAGTCCACTGTGACGGTGCCCTTCTAAAGGGCGGGCTTTGGAGGGGCGCGCGGCACACAGGGAGACGCCGTGACCGCGGATGTCGGTCTGCAGGCCAGGGGAGCGTATTGCAAACCCCGGAGGCACCAGCCCCGCGACCCCTTGATCTCGGACCTCCGGCCTCCAGACTGAGGAAGTCAGCGCCCGGTCTGCCCCGGGAACTGCTGCCCGGAGCATCCTGATGCTGTTCCAGGAGGCGAAGAGAAGCTCCTCGTGGCGGGAGCGGGGGTGGGAGCGGAGGCGGGCGGGTCAGGCCACCGGGGCCTTTCTGTTAACAGGGACTGGAGGAAGGTTTCTGGGTGGGGAAGTGGGCCCCATCAGGTTTGCGTGTTTACCAGACCACTTTGGCTGCTGTGGAAGAGGAGGTGGGGAGAAGGGCTCAAGGCTCTTTGAAGGCTGAGGTTCTGCTCAAGGTGGGGAACAGCAAACACGCAACATGGGGAGGCTTCCTGCCCCAGGAAGAGATGGTGCAGACTCACTGCTCCTTGCCCCTTCCTCCGGGTACCCCTGAGTACCTTGCCGGTAATTCAGCTGTGGATGGGCGAGGGGCTCTGACTGCTGCAGGGAGACTGGCTGGCTGAGGTCCTCGGGGCTGGGTGGTGGCGGCACAGTGGGTTCCCTGGGTTTTCCTGTTCTCTCTTACAGCTTCCCAGAACAGGTGCCGGAGAGGTCTGCAACCCGAGCCAGAACTGCCTGCAGGCCCCTGGGAGTGTCATTAAAGTAGTCCGTGATGTTGGCTGCCTCGACGTCCATGGAGCGTAGCCACTAGGCCTGCAGGGCTTTGGACCAACACCCGTCCCTGCCGTGAGCACATGCCCTAGGTAAAGCCTGCAGTCACAGTAAGTGAAGTTCCTGATGTGACTCTCCTATAGCCCTTGTGGTAAGCACGTCCCCCTGCTGCCCAGGGCCCACCCCTGTGCGCCTCTTACATAAGGCCCCTGCAAAGCTTACCAAAGCCCCACTCTTTTGGTTTGAATCGACCGATCCAGCCTTAGCCCAGAAACCCCAAAGCACTCCATCCACAGACCCTCTCTCTGCCTACACCCTGCCTTGATCTCCCCATGTGCTGTGCCGTGGACCTTCAGGACCTGTGAGTCATGAGCTTCTCTGTTCCGCTTTCCCACACAGTCTTTGTTGATACCCCAGGCTCCAGCTAACAAATGTTAATTTAACGAAGTCACAGCACAGGCAAGAAAACTGCAAGAAAAGCCACCTCTTTCTGGCCCCAGGACTTGGGAAAGGGGAGACCCAGCAGAGACCTAGCCACACCTCCCCCCCCAGTATGCACCAGCATCGAAGCCCCTGCAGGCCCACCGACTCTTGTAGTGCTCACGGGCAGTTTCCTATGCAGGGGCAGAGTCCATGCAGCCCAGTATCTTCCAGCTTTCCACCTGCTGGCACAGGGAGACCCAGGACCAGCAGGTGCTGCCCCGCTCCCCCAGCAGCCAGAAGAAGAAAGCAGACCAAGAGGGCATTGCCAGGGCCGTGAAATGAAACTCACTGGTACCATGAGCCACAAAAGTAGGCCAGAATCTACATGCTAGACCTAAATAGGGCAATTTTCTGTTAAAATAGTAGATTGCAGTAACACCAGAAGTCTTCTGACATGATATGCAAAATGTTCAGGATACGCTCAAAAATGACTTGTCCTGTCAGGAGCCACAAAAACCACTATTTGGCTGAAATGACAATTAACTGACATAAATCCAGATAGATCAGGTGTTAGAATTATCTGACAAGGATTATAAAGCAGTCATGAAAACGCTTTTAAAAATCGTTTATTATAAAGTCTTGGGGTGCCTGGGTGTCTCAGTCGGTTGAGCATTGACTCTTGCTTTGGCTCAGGTCATGATCTCACGGGTTGTGGGACTGAACCCTGTGTCGGGCTCTGGGCTCAGCCAGGAGTCTGCTTGAGGATTATATCCCTCTGCCCTTCCCCTCCTCTCTCTCGTGCACGTGCACTCTTTCTCTCTCTCACTCTTTCTAAAACAAATAAATATTAAAAAGATGTATTTATGAGGTCTGTTGAAACAAATGAAAAAAAAAAGTCTCAGCAAAGAAGTAAAAACTATAAAAAGAAGCTGGATGGAAATCATAGAACTTAAAATTATAACAGCCAAACTGGTATTGTATCATCAGTGGACACTGATCACCGTACCTTTGGATGGACACAACAGCAGAGGGGAGACAAGGGGATAGAATCAGGGAACTTGAAAGTAAAACAATAGTGTTTACTCCATCTAAGTGACAGATCAAATGGACCAGACAGAAGGAAAAGCTGAGAGACCTGCAGGGCAGTGATTTGTGTCACCAGGGTTCTAGAACAAGAGGAGGAAGAATGTGGGCTGAAGAGATATTTAAAGAAATAATGGCTGAAAACTCCCCAAATTTGGCAAATGACATAAACCCGCAGATTAAAGAAGCTGAGCAAGCCCTGAATAAGATAAGACCTCTAAAAACCCAGACACATCATAGTTAAACTTTTGGCAACTAAAGACAGAAGAAAAAATGCTAGACATAGCTAGAGAGAAACAATGCATCACCTGTGGAGGGACACCAACGTGGATGACAGCAGGTGTCTCATCCTAAGTCGCAGAGGTCGGAAGGAAGTGGCACATTGTTCAAGTGTTGAAAGAGAAATGAATCCCACCAACGGAATCATCCTCAAGAATGAGGGAGGAATAAAGATATTTTCAGACAGAGGCCAACAAATAGAATGTGTTGCTAGGAGGCTTGCCCTTGGTGAATGATTAAAGGAAGCTCTCCAAAAGGGAAGAAAGTTGTAACAAGAAGGCAGGGACCCTCAGCAAATGAAGAACAGTAGATTGGGTAAACATGGCAGTAAACATGACTGACCACCTTTCACTTCATAAGTTTCTTGAATCGTAGCTAATGGTTGAAGCAAAAGTAACGACACTGATGTGCTCAGTGTATGTGGAGGAAATATTTCTTTTTTTTTTTTTTAAAGATTTTATTTATTTATGAGAGACAGAGAGAGAGAGAGAGAAGCAGAGGGAGAAGCAAGCTCCCCACTGAGCAGGGAGCCCAATGCGGGACTCGATCCCAGGACCCTGGGATCATGACCTGAGCCGAAGGCAGACGCTTAACCATGTGAGCCACCCAGGCACCTGAGGAAATATTTCTGATAATTATATTTGAGAGATGGGAATAGTGAAGGGATGCAGGTGGCAGTAAGGTTTCTATACTGCACTCGATGTAGTGCAACTTCCATAGCAGGGGACCCCCAGGTGCCACATGTATGTGGTGGTATCTAGAGAATCCGCTAGGAAACTAAACACAGCAGTACAAGCAAAAACATTAAGTGGAATTCCAGAGGCCTGTTGGGAGATCTCATGGGGCACAAGAGAGGGAACAAACACAAATAATGAAATAGTAGATGGAAGCCCTAATCTGTCAATCACTTTATTTTTTATTTATTTACTTTTATTATTTTTTAACAGAGACACAGAGAGAGGGGGAACACAAGCGGGGGAGTGGGAGAGGGAGAAGCAGGCTTCCCGCCAAGCAGGGAGCCCGACGCGGGGCTCGATCCCAGGACCCTGGGACCATGACCTGAGCCGAAGGCAGACGCTTAACGACTGAGCCACCCAGGCGCCCCTATCGATCACTTTAAATGTAAGTAGTGTAAACACACCAGTTAGAAGACCGAGATTGGCAGAGTGAAGAAAAACTATGACCTGACACTACGTTGTCTAATATATGCTAAAACTCACTTCGGCCACAATGACATGGGTGGATTGAAAGTAAAAGGATGGGAGAGGATATATCATATAAACATTAATTTTTAAAAAGCAGATTATAGTAATATCAGCCAAAGTAGACCTCAGAGCAAAGAAAATTTCTTGGAAAAAAGAGGGACATTACCTAATGATGAAGTGATCAATCAGCCAGGAAGATCTAGCCATCCCAAGGATACATGCACCAAATGACAGACGTTCAAAGTATACAGAAGACTTCATATGAGGACTTCCCTACCCATTCTCAGCAATTGCTAGAATTACTAGACAGACACTCAGCAAGGATATAGAAGAACAGCACCATCAACTGACAGGATTAATGGACATTTGTGGAACACTCCACCCAATAATAGCAGAATACATTGTTTTCCAGTGCCCATGGAACATATTCCAGGATAGACCATATCCTGGGCCATAAAACAGCCTTAGTCAATGTAAAGGGTTGAAATCATACAGAGTATGTTCTCTGACAAATGGAATCAAACTGAAAGCAGAGAACAAGGAATGCTTCAGATGTGGAAATTCAACAACACGGTTCTACTCAGAAATACAAAGGAATAAACTGCTGATATAAACAACAGCCTGGCGACTCTAGGGAATTATGCTAAGTCAGACAATCGTTGAAGGGTGACTAGCATGATTCCACTTACATGGCATTCACGAGCTACAGCTCCGTGTTCTCTGGGGTTAGGTGCAGCCATGAAGGTGCCTACAGGGCAGCTACGTGTGGTGACAGTACTTAAGCATCTTGGTGATGGGGGCTACATGGATGCTTAGGTGGTTTTTAAGATTTATTTATTTATTAGAGCGTGAGTGGGGGGAAGGGGCAGAGGGAGAGAGAGTGTGTGCAGAGGGAGAGTGAATCCTCAAGCAGACTCCATGCTGAGTGTGGAGCCCAACTCGGGGCTTGATCTCATGACCCTGAGATCGTGACTTGAGCTGAAACGAAGAGTCAGACACTTCACTGACTGAGCCACCCAGGTGCCCCCAAGTGTTGATTTTTTAACCCAATAGCAAAATACACACACAAATCTGAGCCCAGTAACAGAAAGAGAATAGTGGAGGTTAGAACAGAATCTAGGGAAATAGAAAAACAAACATACAGTAGAGCATATCAATAAAACCAAGAGTTTGTTCTTTTAAAAGTCTAATAAAATAGATAAATCTCTGTCAAGACTGGCAAGGGAAGAAAATGAGAAACCACAAAATAACATATGGAGTGTAAAGGGCTTATCCCTACAGGTTGTGAGCATTAAAACACACCAAAAGGATCATATAAGCCACTTTATCCCTCCCAAAGTGTATGAAATGGAGGATTCCTGGGAAAATGTGATTAACGAAAACTATGTAAGAAGAAATAGGAAGGCAGGAGAGTCTAGTACCTAGTAAAGAAACCGACTCTGTGATTGAAAAGCTTCCCACAATAATGGCTGTAAGCACATGTGCTTTATTAACTGTAAGACATTTAACTAGGAAATAACTCTCATCCTAGACACTTCTCCACAACAGAAAGAGGAACATCTCCCAACCCGTTTTGTGAGGCCAGCATCACAGTGACAGAGACATTACACAAAAGGAATATTATGGATTGACCTCTTTCATTGAACACAGATGCAAAAATCCTAAACAAAGTATTAACTAACTCAATCTGGAAATAAGGAATTTAAAAAGAATACCTTGAGTTTATTCCATGAATACAAGGTTAATTTAATGGAAGAAATTAATGTAATTTACTGCATTAAGAAAAACGGAAGGAGAGAAATCACGGGATCATCTCAACAGGTGCAGAAAGAGCATTTGATGCAACGTACACCTATTCAGGATAACAGCTTAGCGAATGAGGAATAGAAGGCACGACCACAAATATCCCGTAGCTGATGTCCTATGAGATGCAGTGGACAGGTTCCAAAGATGGCCGCTGACGTTTCTCCCATGCCGCACATGTCCAGTGTGAGCTGGCCTGCAGACCCACCTTGGCCCCTGGAACGTGGCAGAAGGGACGCGAGCCATTTCTCTGCCCAGCACTGGAGAGAGCCGGCAGCGCCTCACACCCGTGGGAAGGGCTATCACTAAAAACACAAAAGACAGCAAAACAAAAAACCCACCAGAAAGTGACAAGTATTGGCCAAGACAGGAGTAATTGGAACCTTGCTCACCGCCGGTGGGAAGGTAGAACCGTGCAGCTGCTGGGGAAGACAGCCTGGCAGCTCATCAAAAAATTAAGCCTAGGACTCCCGTACGGCAGCAGTTCCATGTCCTGGTGCGTAGCCAGAAGGTGGCGTGCAGGTACCTGTGTGCCCATGCTCACAGCACCGAGGGTCCACCGTGGGTGATGGCGCAACACGGCGGGGTCCGTCACACGATGGGCTGTAATTTAGCCTTAGGAAGGAAGGAGTGCTGACGCGGGCCGCAACGGGGATGGACCTCAAAAGCACCTCAAAAGCACGGTGCTCAGTGTGCGAAGCCAGACACACAAGACCCCGTATTGTAGATTCTACTTCTGTGAAGTCCCTGATGGTGACACCGTGGCCGGGGCGGTGAGTGTCTTCTGGGAATTCTAGAGGCCAGAGGGAGAGGGCCGAGCCCCCTCAGCGAGTTCGGGGAGGAGCTAGCAGACCCCTCTCCTTCCCCACCTGCTCGAAGCCACAGAGATGCCTCGCTGGAGGAGGCCATGTTCCAACTCTCTAAACTGAGTTTGGACTTTCCATTACTTCCTAGTCCTGGACACTTAGAAAGACTGAGTTGACACTGGGTTTGTATCTTAACATAACCCTAGAACTTTGAATTCTCTGTTTGAGCCAAAATGTGATGGAGCTGTCCAAATGTGTATCTAGAGCAGGAACAGAACTTCCTCCACTGAATAAATACTAAAGAGCCAGGAAGAGCTAAGGAAAAAGTGATTTCCAAGTCTGTTCCGGAGTCTTGCTTGTTCAGTGTTCTGGTGACATATATTTTAAAGTGTGTCATTTAAGTCAGTATGATAAACTGATTTTAGCAGACAGCGTGTAGTTGGTTCATTCATTATCTCATCCAACAAATATTTATGGGGTGTTCGACATTTCTGGGTGTCCTGTGAGGCACGGATACAGCGGTGAGTCAAAGCAGATGCATTTGCTTCTCATGGAGCTGATGGCCGGGAGGGAGGTCATTGATCAAATGTGACAGACGGTGCCCTCGAGCAGTGGGACGTGGAGCGGGGGTGCAGGCGGCTCCAGGAGAGACTCTGGAAGTGGGGTCCGAGGCGCTGGAGCTCAGTAGGCACAGAGGAAGGAAATGCTGGCCTGGGGACGGAGGAGAGGACGGGGAGTGTGGGACCTCGGGTGGCCTGAAGATGTCACTGGCTTTGCCTCTGGACAGGTCTGAGGGGGTGAGTCAGGAGGCAGCGGGAGGGACAGGAGGTGGTGGGGCCTGTGGGCAGGGCCAGAGTTATTTTGCAGAACCTGCAAGATTCGGGGCTGCGGGGGAGGGCGATGTCCGGGGCACTCCGAGTTTCTGGCTTGGGTAACTGCACAGACGGCCCTTCCTTTCCCAGACGCACAAACACGGGGTGGCGGCCAGCCTCGCAGGGCGGGAGCGTCTGCTTTGCAGCTTGTGGAACTGGAGGCAGGCTCCGGTTATCTCACGCAGTGTCGACCCCGAGGCCGCAGCCTCCGCCTGTCGCCGAGTGATCTGGGGACGGTGGTTTCGGCTCTGTGATGGGTGGGCCTGGGCGAAGGCTGGGGCTCGCTGGGAGGCGGCGACGCAGGCTTCCTCGGGGCTTGGCGGGTGAGCTCTAAAGGCACCCAGTGTTGCCCTTTAAACCTGGCCTCAGGCGGCGCAGTCACGGGCTCTATGAGCCACACAGGCCCGCCAGGGAAGCGGAGGAGGCGTCGGAAGCTGGGAGCACGTGGGAAGGACACTGCCCGTAGGCCCTACCAGCTGGGCCTCGCGCGCCGTGAACCGCGAGCCTCCAAGACTCTCCCAGCGCCCCAGGGCCCCTGGCGCTCTGGTAAAGGGCCGTGGTCAGCCCCTGGTGCACACGCATTGAAGCATCTGCCTGGTTTTGGTGTGCCACCCCCCCATCTGGAGACCGTCTTAGTCCCAGTGGGGCATGAGGCCAACTCTTCCCCCACCACTGGCTCTCACTTCCTTGGAAGCTGGTGAAACCATTCCTGAGGTTTTGGGGGATTCTGTGGTGTGAACTGGGCTCTTGATGTTCACAGTTCGCCATTCAGCGTTCTTGGTTCCAGTGAGTCAATGACGACTCTCCTGTCCTCCTTCAGGCTCCCAGAATTTTGTTAAGGTCTTCTCTGGGTCCTTCCAGTCCTCGAGGGCTTGTGCCTTTAAAAACAAAATCCCTTTGGGGCGCCTGGGTGGTTCCGGCTCAGGTCATGATCTTCAGCTCCTGAGATCGAGTCCCACATCGGGCTCCTTGCTCAGCGGGGAGCCTGCTTCTCCCTCTGCCTCTGTCTCCACTCGTGCTCTCTCTCTATCAAATAAATAAAATCTTTTTAAAAATCCCTTTATTGTGATTTTATTGTGGTTTGTGGAGTGAAAATAATGGGTGTTTTGAATTCCCCATCTTTTCCAGGAAGATTTAAAAATTTTAATAGAAAGTTACTTTTAAATAGGTAATACATGCATTTGGTGTACAATAGGAATGGCACTCGAGGACATGGTCACTTTAGGACTTCTGCCCTCCCTGCCCCTCAGGCCACCTCTGTCCTTCAGGTCTGGCTAGAGGTATCCTGTGCCCAAATCTACATGAATCCATGTGTGTGGATTGTAAAGTCCCCCTTTTTTTTTTTAAGGTTTTTAAATTTATTTTAGAGAGAGAACGCGTGAGTGGTGGGGACGAGCAGAGGGAGAGGGACACGCAGACTCTGCACTGAGTGCAGA